AAAAAAAAAAAAAAAAAAAAAAAAGTACAAGAGTAGACAGAGAAGTAATGTTACCTAAGTTTTAGTGGAATGAAAAGACATAGGACTTCTCAGTCCTGTTGAGGAGCCCATTGTGGTGGCTAGAGGCCAGCCAAAACAAGTCTCTCTGCTCAAAGTTATGATTGTGAAGGGTCATGCACATCCGTTCTCAGGAGAACTCAGAGGTTGGACTATAGGAGTTTCTAGGTGTAATTGTCTACAGGATGTCCTCCCAATGACATCAGCACAGTATAGCCCTTTCTTGAATCTCTGACAGGTGCTCATTTCTGTTTTCTCTGAGATTCTCTCCAAAAGGTATTCTCTATTTGTTAAATACTCCTTTTTGGAAAGTTAATCCCTTGCTTGAATGTTCCAGATTCCAAGGGTGTCTCTCTTGCCTCAGAATAGCAGAGTGTGTGGCAAATGGTTGTTCACAACTTTGTCAATAGATGCAGAGGATCCCCTGGACCTTTCATTTCCAGGGATCCTTGACCCACTAACATTGTGGGGAAGATAGCAAGGGGGACTTCCTCTCAGGTTCCTTAATGAAGGAGAACAGTGGCCCTACCTACAGAACTCTGCTCTGATTTCCCCTTTCCCCTTCCAACATAGCTCTTGCAAGTGGGTCAGTATAGCTAAGTTCAACTATCCCAGTGAAAAATGGGGACAACTCTCTGACCTCTCTCTAGGACTGTTGCTCTTCTTCAAATTCTCTCTTTTCTGTCAGGAATTCCAAAGAGGGACTTCTATTTGACTTCTTTGGAACCTTTACCTGGGGCCCAAGGTCTGGAACCCTGGGTAAGGTGTAAGTGGGCTTTACCCTCATGCCTACCTTATTATAGTACAACAGTGGCTTCTATGGGCACTTCAGAGGTCAAGTCAAGAGTGAAAGTGCTGGAGAATATCGCCTTGCAGCCAAGCCCCAGCCTCCTCCAGTGTTCCTGCGACGTTTTCAGGTACAAGATAGCCCTGAAGGCAGTGGGAAGGAATGGGCCAGTTCTTATCTCTTCCAGGACCCAAAAGCATGATCCCAGCTCTTCTAAAGACAGACTGATAATGGAGACTGACACCTGGGACTAGCCTACCTGGGACAGACAGGAGGTTTTTTGCCTCTTCCCTGAAATATCAGATCTCTACCAATGGGATAGAAAAAAGCAGGTGCCAAATTGCAGTATTGTCCACTGCCCCTTTTACCACTTGAGCTACTCTACTAGCCCTACACTGCCCTTTCCAGATGGATCTAAAGCCCAGGTAGATAGGTAGCAATGGTGAGAGAGCACTTAGAACCCAGAAAGGAAACCTTGAGTTTTGTTGAACTGCCCTTAATTTCAGATTCCTTGATGCCACAAAAGCCCACAGTCAAGCCACAGCCACCTTCCCAGTCAGGGCATTGGGAATGAGTAGGAGGCCTTGTATGGTTAGGCAGGGAAGTGTAGTGCAGGAGGTGGCTGGGTACCAGCCCACATGTCTGGCTAGGAAAGACTAGAAAGGAGTGAGAAAAAAAAGGAGGCCTAAAATAGCTGCAATAGGCTTTCAGAAAATAAGGGAGGGATGATGTTCCAGGCCCTCCACCACTTTCAGGCCTAGAGAACAGGAGAGGGCACTGTGTGTCACCAGTCAGGATCCCAGCAGTTAAAAACACTTAAAGCAGGAATGCTCTGGAGGATTTGCTCCTAATGAGTGGATATGGATTGTCTCAAAGTTTGATAGCTGGGCCCAGAGACATGGGAGGCATGGCTGCTAGAACCCAGAAAAAGATGGATATGGTGACAGTGACCCTGAGAGGAGCAGTGACACTGAGTGCAGAGACATAGCCAGGTGAGAGCTGGCCTGGGAGAGGGTAAGAGAAGAAACATCTCTCTAATTTTCTCCATTTCCTCTCGAGGCTCCTCAGTGTCCAGAGTAAAGGGAGTCTGGTGATATATGCATTGAAGTCTGCCTTCTGAGCAAGAGCAGAGTGGAGGAAAAGCCAGGGGACAAAGGAGTGCCCAAAATATGCTCCACCCATGCACACTTGCTTTCTAGCCTTTTTCCAGGTGCTACTGGATCTGCCTTCTGGATTATTCAGGAATTGCTTTCTCAGGCTGAGAGCAGGATCCTGGAGGTTGCCATGTTGTTCAACCTTAACTTCCTTAGCATTTCCTGTTGGAGGAACTACCTGGCATTGCCTACCAAGCTAGACCCAAATGCAGCTCTAGATTGCCCACCAGAAGCCAACTTCTTTTTTGAGAGTGATGGAGTTGGCATTGATCAGGGACAGAAGCAACCAGAACCTTCCTGTTGGATGTTTGTAGTAGCCCTCACTGGCAGCTCTCATCCCAGACACATCCTCTCAATCTGATAAATCCATTCCCTAGGATAGACATGTAGGGGACATGTTTCCACTGATGATCAACTGAACACTTAGAATTTACTAGCATTATCAACAACTCCAAATAGTAGAATCTCTGTCTAGGGTTCAGGTTAGATAAATGTCAAGTCTCTTGGCACTTTCTAGATCTAAAGCTATATTAATTAATAGAATTGCCCAGGGAAGTTGCACATTTATTTTCTCATTGGCTGAGAAGCACTAGGTTTCATTTGGCTGGTTGCAGCTATTGTTTAAAGCCTTTCTGAGACATGGCAACAACTTTCCCTTGGTTTGAGGGCCACGTAAAAATTTTGTCTGTGACATTCAGATGCAAGAATGCAGTTTTCTTCTTTTTCATTTTTCTTATAAACCACATTGATCTATTCTAGCCTTCACTGCATGACTCTTGGGAAATGTAACCCTAGTCCTGTTTGTTCCTAAAGTCAGATGAGAGTCTCAGAGCCCCACTGTTGGGAGCAGTGCCATGACTGCTCCGACCCCTGTTGCGTCCCATGCCTCTATTTGACGCAGAGGCTCCTTTCTCAGCAGCCCACTGACTGCAGACTGCCTAGCCTCTCCGAGACCCTTAGCCATCCCATGTGTAAATGCTACCTCCTCCTAGACCTTTCCCCAAGGTCTCTTAAGCAGAAATCAAAGCTCTAGCCTCACCTGCTCAGAGATCCATGGATTCCACTACCTTGATGGACAAGGAGCCTAAACAGTTTAGAAACAAAGATGCAGGTGCTAATTTTCTTCAGGAGCAAGAATGCCCAGAACTGCTTGGGCAGAGAGGAAATGACTACTTTTCTCACCAGACTCCCACAGTTGTGAAAGAGCAAAACTTGAATCAGTGGGAGTCAATAGATTATCCTACCACTGTAGGAATAACGAGTTTCCAGAGTCAGAGCTGCCTCCAAAAACAGAAGCATTCACGCTAGGGCTATGTGCAACTCTGTAGCTGAGAATAGAGAGGGGAGAAATTTGGAGGTCAACTTCAACTCGCCTCAGGCTCCAAGATTTTTTAAAATTGGAACTTTCATTGAGATGATTATAGATTCATATGTAGTTGTAAGAAATTAATGATTCATTCTTTCTTTGCTTTTCCCAGTTTCCCTCAATGGTAAAATTTTGCAGAGCTGTAGTATTATATTATAGTACATTGACATTGTTGCAATCCACCAATCTCATTCAGATTTCCCATTATATTTGTATTTATTTGTGTGTGTGTGTGTGAGTGTGTGTATGTACTAATATCTCTAAAATGTAATGATCTGTGTAGGTTCAGATAGCCGCCAGTACAGTTAAGATTCTGACCAACATCACAAAGATTCCTGGTGCTGCCCTTTTATCATCATACTAACTGCCTTTCATTTCTTCACCCCTTCTCTGATCCTAACTACCAAACTCCCTCCATTTCTAAAATTTTGTCACTTAAAAATGTTGGGCTAAGTATGGTTGTACACATCTGTAATCCCAGTTTATGGGAGGCTAAGGCAGGAGAATCATGAGTTCAAGGACAGCCTGGGCTACACAGGGAGATCCTGTTTCAAAATATTTATTTTAAGATGATATATAAGTGGAATAATACAGTATTCAGACTTTGGAGTTTGGGTTTTCTTTCTCAGTATTATTTCCTGGAGAGTCATCCAATTTGTGTGTATCAATAGTTCATTTCTTTTCATTGCTAAGTGTATTCCATGGTATGTATGTATTAGTTTCTTTAACCATTCTCCTATTAAAGGATATCTGAGTTGATTCCAGCTCTTACAAACAAAGCTGCTATGAACATTTGTGTGCAGATTTTTGGGTGAACATAAGCTTTAGTTTCTCTGGGATAAATGCCCAGAAGTACAATTGCTGGGTCATATGGTAGTTGCATGTTTAGTTTTTTTTAAAGAAACTGTCAAGCTATTTTCTAGCATGTCTGTACCATTTTATATTCCCAACAGCAATGCATGAATGATCTAGTTTCTCTGAATTCTCACTAACATTTGGTATTGTCTCTATTTTTAATTTCAGCCATTCTGATAGATGTGTAGTGATACTTCATTGTGGTTTTGATTTGTGTTTGCCTAATGTTTAATGATGTTGAACATCTTTTCATGTACCATTTACCATCTGTATATCCTTTTTGGTGAAATCGTTTCAAGTTGTTTACTCATTTTTGGATTAGATTATTTGTTATTTTACTGTCAAGATGTTAATAATCTACCCCCACACAAAGCCTGGTACTGGGAATTGAACATAGGACCCTTGTGCATGCTAGGCAAGCACTCTATCACTGAGCTTCCCCCTGCCCTGCCCCCAGCCCTAAAGTTTTTTATGTATTCTAGATAGTACTAGCCCTTGTTGGAAATGTAGTTTGTAAATATTTTTCTCTCAGTCTGTACCTTGTTTTTCATCATCTTCATACAGACTTTCACAGGGCAAAGTGTTTTTTTTTTTTTAATTTTGATGAGGTCCCATTTATTTTTTCTTTTTGGTTTTTGATCTTGGTGATATCTTAGGAACTCTTTATTTAGCTCCAGCTTTCAAAGACTTTTTTTTTCTAAGACAGCATGTTTTGTTTGGTTTGGTTTGGTTTGGTGCCGGGGATTGAACCTAGGGCTTTGCACATAATAAACCCATGCTCTACAACTGAGCTAACCCCCCAGAAGCAATAGCCCTTGGTTTTTAATCCCCATCATGTCATCTTGCTTTATGAGAAATGAAAGGTAAGGCTGAATGGCTTCCCATCTTCATAGTTTTCATGCTGTTTGGAGACTACCACTGACTGGCTAAGGCAAGGGGGGGGGTCCCCAAATGGGAAAGTGTTAAAAACACATACCACAGGCTCTACCCTGACTGGTTCAGGGAACTGTGATGAAGCCAGCCCCTGCTTTCTTTTTCATTTTCTTTTTTGATGCTGGGGATCAAACCCAGGGCCTCAAGCATGTTAGAGCTGTATCACTGAACTACATCCTTAAACCATCATTTCATTTGGGAACCTGTTGTTAGCCACTGTTCATACCCTAGCCAAGCCTGAGCTCATGATATCTCATGATACTTTAGGTAAATAGCAGGAGAAACTGGGTAGCCAGGGAGGGGGTGGCTCTGGGGACAGACACTGAGCACAAAGACAAGGAGATGGTTTTGGGAGCAATTCCTGCCAAGGACAGGAGATCTGAAGGGTGATCTTTCTCTGCCTGGGGATAGGGCAGGCTCTCTGGCCCCAACTAAGCCCAAGCAAATGTATTGGAGTCAGAATCTTCTGTCCCTGGCATTTATAGAGCATAATGCCAGGTATTGTTTTCAGTGCTAAAGTCATAGATGTAAGCAAGACAGCCAAAAAACTTAACCCACAAGGAGCCTGTATTCTAATGGTAGACATCAGATGATAGGCAACATCATAATATGTAATCATAGAGTGTTAGGAAGTGAAAATGCAGATATGTGGAGATGGGCCTACTAACACAATGCTCAAGGAAGGCTTGTCAAGAGGAAGATAAGAGGAAATTACATGGCCAGCAGAAGGAACAGTTGGTACAAAGAACTGAGAAGGGAGTACATGGCATGTTTTGGGAACAGGGAAAAAGTTAGGGTAGCTAGAGCTAGAATCAATAGGGAAGAATCAGTACCACATGAGTCTTGTGGACCACTATGACTTTGGTTGGTATAAGCACGAGGAACTGTTGTGGATTTTTGGCAAACAAGATATGATCGGATTTGTGTACTTAAAGAATTTCTGGCTGCTGAGAGGATGATAGATTGGAGTGTGGAGCTTGAAAACAGACACTAGGTGGGAAGTTCTCACAATATTTCCAGCAAAAGAGAAAAGTGGTTTGGATCAGGGAAATCCCTGATCATGATGAGGGGTCCTCTGATCCTAGGAACATCTTCAAGGAAGCATCAACAGGATTTCCTGCCACATTGGAGGTGGAATGTGACAGAAAAGAACTAAGGTAGCTGGACATGTTGGTTCATGCCTATAATCCCAGCTCTCAGGAGACTAAGGCAGGAGGATAACGAGTTTGGCATGGGCTACATAGTTCCAGACTGACCAGCCTAGGTTACACAACAAGACCCTATCTCAAAAAAAAAAAAGTCTGGACTGGCAGCATGGCTCAGGTGGTAGAGCACCTGCCTAGCAAGCATGAGGCCCTAAGTTCAAACCCCAGTACTACCAAAAAAAAAAAAAGAGTTACAGAAAAAAAATCTGAGGAGACTCTGATCCAAAGCTCAGTCATGTGTTTAGAGATGTCTGTCAGGTCAGGCACTCCATGTATAGTAGGGAATTGGCTATTGAGCCTAAGGTTCAGCAGACAGCTTGAGCTAGAGACAGAAATTTTAGTTTCCAGGTGGCACTTAGGGACCAGAGCATGGGTATGTTGTCAGGGAGCAAGAGAGGATGGAGAGGAGAAGACTAAAGCCCATTCCTGGGAAATCTGGCTTAGAGGGTCCCACCAATGGCAGGATGTCCTGGCAGATGCCTCAGCCTGCTCCTCAATCCATAGCCCCAGAAGCTTCTACTTCAGGGAAAATCCCTAGATGAGATATCCTAGGAGTAAGGTATTTAATTTGTCTCTGCCCTTTCAGGGTGTTGGCAGTTTAGGGGTGATGGCTCTTGCAGCTTCCCTCTATTGTGGGCCCTGAGACAATATCTGGTGCAGTAGGTAAGCTTGATTTTCCCTCTTCACTTTCTTTCTCACTGTTTTTCAAGGAGCCACCACAGCAGCACTTCTTCTCCAAGCATGACAATCGCACTTCCTTCGACAAAGTGAGTGCTAGAGAGAAGGAGCAGTCTCCTCCCCCCAGCCTAGGCTGATATTAAGGCAAAGCAGGTAGTAGGGTAGAGGGGATAGTACCTTGAGGGGAGGGAGGGCTCCTTAAATAGGCAGAGGAGTTTCTATTTCCCCACAACCTTTCTCTTCTGGGAAGGACCCCATCCCCAGACAGAGCCACCTCTGCACTGGTTTCCTTCACTAGCTTGCCTTGACAGTGTGCAAGTCTCCTGGGGGGCACTGACTTCTCAGGCTTTATGCTAGAAGACATGGCATCACTGAAGAGGCAGGCCAATGAGGGCAGGGTTCAGGCCAGTCCAATCATCATCAAGCACATGGGATTAAGTGGGGTCCAAAGAACTTCTTGGTGCCAAGACTGGGCCAAGGGCCCATACCGTTGAGAAGGGTCCCTACTGCCTGCTACAGGGAATTGGAAGACGGAAAGACCTGAAGCGGCACCTGTGGCAACAGCACACCTTCCTGCGATGGGCACCCTGTGAGCTGGAGTTGAGCAAGCAACGGCCTCTGGTATCTTCCTACCAGACTGATTTCCGACCAGGCTCAGAACTTGGTATCCTCCCCCAGCGCCTTGTCCATTTTATGCAGGTCCAGCCTGCCTATGGCGACACTACATACAAGCAGAACTTCTGCCAGCCATCCCGGGGTGGCCACTGTGGTAGCAAGGTAGGACCTCAAGCGCCATTCACCGACACATTGCCTGACCTCCCAGGGATCCCAAGACCCAAGCTGCTTCAGCACTACCTTCACGCTGGGGTTTCTGAGTGTCTAAACTGGTCCCATGCATTAAATAAGGATAGCTGACACAGCAGCCTGTCTGTCTTGCAGCTCAAAATTAATCAGGTGCTGGTGAGTAGTAGTGCCCTGCTCACTGCCAGGGCACTGCTATATCTGAGTGTTGGGCTGGGGAGGTACTCTCCTGGGAACCCTGCCATTGATAAAGGGTAGAGCCGCAGGAAGATCAGAATCCAGGAAGGTTGTCATGACCTCCATAGGTAGGCTTCAGGGACCCAAATACTCCTCTGTAATTGCAACCCCTTATACTCAGTGTAGCTAGAGGGTTTCTTACTAGTGGGCTGCAAAAGCTGGAGGGGGAGACATGGGCTGGCAGCTTCCACCAGGAGGTTGTTGCCCTTGAGGGATTTGGTGGGTAGCCACATAGTCCTGCCCAAGAGATGGCTGCTCCACAGCTGGGACAGAAGGAAGGCACCCAGGCCACCACATACACTGAACCACTCCTCCCTTTGGGGGTGATGAAAAGCTTTGAAGAGACACTGTCTGACTTGGACCTGAAGGTTATCCTAACCCTGTGGAGTTTTATTGTTTTCTGAGCTCTTCTTTGGTCATCCTGTCAGTGTCCCCAACACCTAGGACAGTATAGGAGAGCTGCCATCCCATATCACCTAAGGCAAAACTGAAGTTTAGGTGGGACTGAGACACCAGGTCATTTAGGGTGCAGAAGCCAAATCCAAAAGGCTCCCTGTAGACCCTGGGATGATTGAGCCCCTAAAGGAGGGCAGGGGCTCTGACAACATAAGAGTCCACACCAGGAGCCACACGCCAGATTTTAGCAGTGCTTTTACTTCCACATCCATCTCCCTGGGTCCTCACAACAGCCCTGTGAGGTAGGTAGGGCAGGAAGGTTTCGAGATCCCCATTTACAGATGAGGATGCTGAGGCACAGAGAAGTGAAATGACTTGCCCAAGGTCATACAACCATCAGTGTAGAGGGCCCAAAGCCAGCATTCCTCTGACCCTCTGGCAGTTCCCTCATTCTCTCTCCCATTCCTTCTGTATCTCCCACCTCTCTGAACACTCCTGGGTCTACAGAGACCCTTGAAGCAGGCTGGCAGTTAGACTTTTTCAGGAATGGCCACTGGACAACTCTAGATAATCAAACTCTCTCCACTTCCTGGTTAGACAGAGGGCCTAGTAGGTTTTAGGGCAAGGGTGGAGCTAAGTATAGTTCATGAATGGATGACAGTAAAGGTGGTGTGAGCATATATGTGTCCTGTGCTAAAGACAAAGGCTCCCCCCCACCCAAGTCCCCAAGGCAGTGCCTCAGGTGTGCACCTGAGTCTCCCTCATCCTACAGAGCCACAGAGAGCTCCCTAAGTAGCAAAAGGAGCCAGACATCTGCTTCTGCACGGAGCTACTCTAGTGGACAGGTTCCACCAGGCCTTCAGACTCCATCACGCAAACACAATGCCTCCACAGCTTGACTGGGGCCCTGAGCTACACCCCCAATAACAAACAGCCGAGACCCAGCCTGTAGGCTAGAGCAGGAACAGCGGGCTGTGGGCATTGTTGGCAGTGTCTCCCAGCGCCGTCGTGCAAGGCTGAAGCTTTCCACAGAGCCCAGAGGACACGGCTGGTTTCCTGCAAGAAGACAGATGGTTATAAGGCACTCTAAGGTCTTCTGCTCCCTGGGCCCAGAAAATGACCTAATAAGTGTCACTATAGGATGGGGTATCAATGCCTTGCTCCTCATTGCTCCTGTTCATCATTTGTTCATTAATTCTTTTTTTTTTTTTTGTGGGACTGGGGTTTGAACTCAGGGCTTTGTGCTTGATAGGCAGACATCTTACTACTTGAGCCACACCTCCAGCCATTAATTCATGTTTTGATTTGTCCACTTGATAACACATTCAGTGGTCATTTGTCCTGCTTCTGTCTCCCAGGCTGGTTCAAAGTCCCTAGTTAGGCACTAGGGGACACCCTGAGAGCTGGACCAGAACATGCTTGCTTTATGGACAGAGAAAGGGAACTCACAAAGCCCTGACCCCTGGAGAGCCTGGAGATGGGGATTCTGCTGCTGGGGATACTCTTTCCTGTTTTTTGCCCCCCCCCACCCCCGCAGAGACTTACCAAGGCCCCCGATAGCCACAATGTGGCCCCCAAGGGAGCCGACCACAAAGTCAGCCCTCTTATCTCTCATGCGCAGGCTGCGGGGCAGCTTGGTCCAGGACCCTGTAAAAGATGGGAGGTCAAACCTGGACACACTCAATGTCCCTCCATCCCACCAAGAGAGGGAGGACAGTGTAAGACAGCCACTGCTCACCATGCTCCAGGTCAAACATCTCCACAGTGTTGACAAAGTGTGGGCGGGAGTAGAAATTGTGGGGCCCGGGCTGCTGCAGGCCACCCAGGCTAAAGACACTGCCTTCGGCCATGGCACAGCCAGCAAAGGCCCGACGGCTGGGCAGGCTTGGGTGTCGGGTCCAGGTACGGGTCTCCAGATCAAAAGCTTCAAAAGCAGTCACTGGAAGCTTGCCCTGACGGCCCCCTGTCAAGATAATGGGGGAACTTGGGTGGAAGCCCAGTGAGCTTGGTGGGCTCCTCACTTACCAGATTGCTGAGCTGTCTACCCCAGCCTCCCATGCCCAGCTCTGTGCACATCTGCTCTTGGATCGTCCACCCCACAGACCTTTAAGCACTGGGTTTGATTTTCTAATCTTAGCAGGCCCACCACAGGTCAGAGCCTCAGAGTAGGTATGGATTATCCCAACAAAGCTAAAGTCCTGATGTCTCAGATTCAGCCTGATCCCTACCCCAGCCAACCTACGGGGATGGAGACTTCTGGGCTCTGAGCCTTCTTCCCACATCCCCCAGCCCTTACCCAGGACATAGATCTTGTTCCCGTGCAGGAAGGTGGAGGCCCCGTAGCAGGGTGTGGGCATGGAAGGTAGCGAAAGCCAGCAGTCCCGGCGGGGCTCATACACCCGTACCTGGGCCTGGGGGGCCGTGTCAGGGCCCATTCCCCCCAGAGCATACACCATACCATCTGCATAGAAAAGAGTAGTTCAGACTGCACCCCTGCCTGGCCAGGGTCTGACAGCTGCCCTGGTCAGGCCTGGGGGTAAATGGAGATCCACGTGTTTGTGGGAAACCTCACTGCCAGTCTAGAGTGGAAACTGGGGGAGCTGCAAGAGCTGGGATTCTGGCTCTGGCCAGGGCCCCTTGGAGTGAAGAGCAGGAGGCAGCTGATCTAATTATAATACAGCTCTGTCTCCCTGGAGACGCTATAGCAACCAAGTCTGGCATCCAAACAGGCTGGTCTGGACTGGTGGTCAGACCTGGAGGCCACAAGTTGGGGGCTTCCCTGGAGAAGAGGGAGGGGTGGTTTAATTCAGGGGTGAGGAGGTATAAGGCTATCTGCTCAGTACAGAGCTCAGTTTGGGGAGGGTCTCTGGGGATTAATTGGGGGCAGGGTGGGGCTAAGAGAGGGTTTTGGGCCTGTAGGATAGAGGTGCTGGCCATAAGCCGTCAGCTCTAATCATCCTGTCAGAACCTCTACACTATGTCCTTTCACTTGAGTAGGTTCTTGCCTTCTGTTAGGCCTTCAGGGTCTGCTAGAAGCATGTCTAGGGCCTTGGGGTGATGAACCAGTCATCTGGGGGCTTCCATGGCAACCATTCCCAGGTTTGCTGGGCCTTTGTCCACATCAGGATCCCTGGTGTGTGTGTGTAGAGGGGGAGTCAAAGCACTTAGGCACTTGCTGGGCTCTGGGCCAAGGCCCTGCTCCCCTCCCCCACCCCTGACTATTTATAACCCTAAGCATTCGGCCACACCCCCCAATGTCTCTTAGAAATGAATGGGGCAGGGTGGTGGCTGGGGTCTCATTATTCTGGAGGCCAGTCTTAGCTCTGACCACCACTTCACAGCCAGAAAAGGTGGTTAACAAAAGAAGGCTGTTGCAAACCCAGCTCCGCTAGGTAGGAGAAGATAAGAGAGACAAGGCCATGTCCATGGCATACCTTGTCCAATCTCTGAGGGACCAAGTCAGAAGTGAACGGAGGGTGTTGAGGCACCTGAGGGACTATCCTTGGTAGGCAACTCACCTCTCTCCACAGTTGCAACCCCCATGGCTGCTTGAGGGAGGGTGGCCCGACGCTCCCAGCGGCCTTCATCAGCCAGGAAGGCCTCCACAGCAGCTACTGGGCTCTGGACTTCATCCACACCGCCTACCACTAGCACCTGCTTACCCAGAACCACAGCAGCTGCACCAGCCCGGGCAGTGGGCAGGGGTGTCAGTGCCAGCCATGTATGTGAGGCCATATCCAATGTCTCAGCAGTGTCCAGGGGTAACCCAGCCCGGCCACAGCCCCCCAACACCAGCAGGTGCCCATCCTGGTGCGCCACTGTGCCATACACCCGGCAAGTGGGCATGGGGGGGAACACCTGCCAAGTGAAGGCCCGGCCACTTCCTGCAGCCATGCTGTTCACGGCCAGTGGCAGGCCATGCTATATGCTCAGGCTGCAGGCTTCACTGGCAGAACATGATAGGGCCTCATCTTGACTCTGCCAAGGCTACAAGAAAGTGTCTGACCAGTCCAGGAACCTTGCCTTCACCTGTAGGAGAGAGGGAAAACAAAGGATAAGGACCATTGACCTGATGCTCAGAAAACACATGAACAGCTCATAGCTGAGGGCAGAGCAGGCACAAAACTACTGGTGACAAAGGCAGGTAAAGGGGCCACCCCCTCTGACTAGGATACTACTGCTGAGGCCCTACTGGACTGGGTGCGAAGACAGACCCCAGATACCCAGGCACCTTCCTTCCCCTTCATAATGGGGGATGAGGGATTTTCCTCCACACCCTCTCCCTAACAACTAGTTGCACTGGATCAATCTGAGTTTAGATGGAGGTTAAGGTGACTAGAACAGGACTCTCCATCCTAGTGCCCTTCCTTTCCCTACAACAAGCCTCATCTTGATTCTACAAGAGAGGAGTACCACTGAGTCCTCCCTATACTGGCTTCTAGTGTGCCCTGGGCAGCCTGGAATTCAACTATCAGGGTCCCCCACCTGCTGTCAGGAGTCAGACTCCAGGGTATCCTTACAACACCCCTGGGGACCATTCTGTGTGGTTCGACAATTCTCACTAGCAAAAGGCCAGGGTTTGGGTTGTTTGGGACTTGGGGGCTGGAGGCCAGGGTTCCACCTTTCCCTTCAGGATCACTCTCAGGGGTTTGCCCGTGCAAAAAGACTCCATAGTGTTTAGAAGGAGGGGGTACTGGTTTGGGGAATCTCATGAGTACAGGACTCCAAGGTCCCAGGAACCAGGGCTTTTCCCGCAGGAATAAGCATCTGGACTTCTGAGTGCCCTGTCAGTTCTCTCAAGTTCTTCACCCTCCCCTTTCCCATGGGGACTCCACTACTAGATCTTGGACCTAGCAGGAGGGCCTCCTGGCCCCAAACTTCCAGCTCAAAGAGGTGGGGGCAGGTCTGGCTAGTGCGCTTGGGGCTCTAAGCCCCACGCCCCAAACTTCCCTTGAATGCAGCTCCTGCGGGACTCACCTGCTGGGTCTCCGGTATCGCCGGCGCACAGCGTCCGCCGTTCCGCCTCCGCTGACGCCGGCTCTGGTTAGGGCTGAAGCCCGGCTCTGGCGGGGCTCCGGCACCGCTCCGGCGTGGGGCGGGGCTGGACCGGGTCCGCCCCTCGCTCCCCCCTCCTCAGACTCGGGGAAACCTCCTCCCGCCTTAACTCTGCACATGCCACGGCCGGAGTAGGGTGCGCCAACCACGATCACACCCAAGCGAACAAACAGACATAAGGATACTAGGCCTGCCAGGATTTAGGGTCCGACCTGGGGAGGTGGTAGAAATGGGGAGCAGCGGTGAGCCGCACAATACCGTATGGCGGGAGATCGTGCTGAGCCGAACCCAGCCTGGGTGCGCGGGGTTTGGAGCGGGTGCGGGGGTGGTCTCGGAGCCAACTAGTGGAACCTGGGGGTTCGAAGGGTCAGAGCCCGCCCAATGCAGCTGAGCTCTGAGGTCTCCAACCACCGGCTTTGCGGCGGCGCCCCCTAGAGGCCATTCGGGGCGTGGTCTGAGCCTCATTGTGGTGGGGGGCGGTCAGCTAGATTGCCCTAACCAGGACACAAAGTAGGGCACAGAATAGATCCTCTAGTACACATTGGGAGCAGTAGGCGGTGAAGGAGCAGACCATGATGGAGTCAGGGCCTCATAGGCCCTTCCACAGGCAGAGGTACTGGAAATTCTCGGATAGTTCTGAGCTAGAAGAGTTAAGAGGCCAGGGGCCTCCCGGGTGGGTCACTCTGATCTCATCCTGTAAGGTCTGAAACTAGGGATATTCTGAATCCCGAGGTGATTGTTCATCTTCAGGGATCAGGGCCTGTCTCTAGCCAACTCTGAGACCAAATTGGTGTAACGAGGATCCACCTACCACAGACTCAAATCCTGGCCCAGCCTATCTTTGGAGCAATCAGAGTATTAGCTGCCTCTTCCAGTTGGGAACGCACTTGTACAGGTCAGCATCACCTGTGGAAACAGGTCCTTGCAGTTGTCTTTGCTCACTGCCTTGCCCCACTTTCGTGTACAGTGTTTTGTCTTAGTTTTCCCTAAGCCGAGATGGAGACAAAGATGCAAGTGCATAGAGTTAGTGTGGGAGGTGAAGCCAGGAAGCACCAGCAGAGGAGTAGCAATGAGAGGAGACAGGGAAAGCAGCCAGTAAAGGAATTGTCATCAAGTAAGTTACCACTGTGGGCAACTGGAACAAAATTCTGCTGGGAATTCTGGGAGCCAGTGTAGAATATGGGCCTCCCATTATTACTGCCCCTGGGAGTAAGGGAAACTAAGGTACTCATTCTTAACTCCCCATCAATCATGTTGAGATCTGGGGGCATTGATGTCCTGGCCTGTTCACTTGTGACTTTCCTGGAGTGTGAGTGGACCCTTCCCATGACAAAAAGAGAGCCTTTAGCCCTTTCAGAAGATGGTAGTTGAACTCAGGGCCTGCACAGAAATGTTGGTTACAGACTACACAGACCATGATTAAAAGGCCTCTATCCTCCCAACTCACTTCCCCAACTTGCTTCTCACTTATGCCTCCCACCACAGGGTGTTCATACTGCCCTGAATACACCTCATATTTACCACTATTCCCTTTCTTTCCAAGCTCCCTCCCTCTCCTTTTCAGCAATTCACCACTTATAAACTGTCTGCTTTTAGATACTTCCAAGTACCCCAAGTCTCAGTAATTCCCCCTTCCTCACCTGAAAGTGTTTTTTTTTTTTTTTTGGTAGTACTAGGGTTTGAACTCAAGCAGTGGCTCTACCACCTGAGCCACTCAGCCAGCCCTGTTTTGTGTTGGGTATTTTCAAGATAGGGTCTTACAAACTATTTGTCTGGAGCTGGCTTCGAACTGCTATTCTGATCTCTGTGTCCTAAGTAGCTAGGTTTACAGGAGTGAGCCACTGGCGCCTAGCTCCCTGAAAATTCTTGAAGTCATATGTCCTCACAGGCTCCACTGCCATCTCAGTCTGTTGCCACTTCTTCCCCAAAAACGCTGTTGAAAATTCACTATGGAATGCCATAAAGCTAAGACTAAGGTGTAATTGTGGTCCTTGTTTCAATTGAAATCATACAGGCAATTTCAAATTTTCACCCTTTGTGACCTTGGCTTCCTCCTGCTTGCCTTGCTTCTTGGAATCTTTTGGAGGCCCTTCTTCCTCTCTCTCCCCAGGTTGTGGCTCAAGATTTGGCACTAGACCTTAGTAAGACCCTGTTTCAATAACAAAAGGGTTAGAGGTGTAGCTCAGTAGTTAGACTGCTTCCCTAGCATGCATGAGGCTCTGCTCTGGGTTCAATGCCCAGGGCAAAGGGAAAAAAAAATTGGCCCTGGCATACATATCCCCTATTGGGACAATCTCTGCCAAACCACTGCCTTCACATCTAGATCTCCACCAGATCTTTCTTCTCAAGTCGATTTGAGCAGAGTCCACTTATGACAATGTAAGGTACCAAACAGAGAGCGAGGAATGGGTCCTGGGATCATCTTGTGTTCTCTCCACACCTCATCCTATCTGATTCCAGATATGCCTGTAGGCTCACCAATCACTAAAGTCCAGGTCAAGTCAGATTGTGATCTAATGAGTGTTCCTAGAGAGTTCCATCTGGGGCTTACCAGGCACTAGGATGCAGAAGGTTCAGCACTCCCTCAGACAGCTAGGTATTTCTTAACCCTAACCCTTATCATCCCTCTAATTCCCATGTCTAAAAGGGACACAGAAAGGGGATGGACCTATTCTTCTTGGTCTTCCATTTTGTCCTGACCTCTGGGCTATACATCACCAGAGAAGGACACCTCGGTTAGTGTTATCCCTGGGGGCTAACCTCTGTCTTATCATGAAAGTGGCTTTGCTTCTGTTTGTATAGTTATGGTCCATCTGCTCATAGGGGTAATACTGCTGGCTTTGTGTGTGTGTGTGTGGTACTGGGGCTTGAACTCAGGGCCTTCACCTTGAACCACTCCACCAGTGACAGAGTTTTTCGAGATAGGGTCTTGCTAACTATTTGCCTGGGCTGGCTTTGAACTTCGATCCTCCTGATCTCTGCCTCCTGAGTAGCTAGGATTACAGGTGTGAGCCACTGGTGCCTGGCTACTGTTGGTTCTGAAAAACAACTGAGGTTGGATTGGCCCTGAGAGTGAAAAGTCAACCCGGACCCTCAACTCTGGACAGGATCAGAGATAAGGCTCACCCACTGTTGGGAACTGGAAATGCCAAGTGGGAATTACTGACTACAGCCCATGAGATCTTGGCCTGTAGGATCCTACCCTCCCCTTCTCTCTACCAGGACAGGAGGCTATAAGAACTGACCCCAGAACAGGAGATTTTGTGGTTCCTACTGAACACCTTGGCCATGCTTAAAGGCACTGAGCACCCTACCATCAATGCTGAGACTCTAAGAAACTATGAGGCATAGGGCATGACTAAGTGGAATGGACACTTGTCTTTAGGGATGCCTAGACCAATCTATATAGACAGGGAAATAAGAAGATCCTGGGGCCATATGGAAAGGGAGGAAGGCTAGAATCCAGTTCCCAAATGAAATATCCAGCTATTCTCTTCACCTGTCCCTAACTACCAATCATGGCACCAACGTGAGGTTTAGGATACAAGAGTTGTGGGAGTATTTCTCCCTTCTGGCTCAGGATCTGATCCAAGTGCATATGCCCCCATAATCTAATTCATGACACCATGGCTCCCATGATGGCTCCTAACCTGAACTCGGGGGCCCCTAAGTAGGGCCTTTAATCACAGCTGTAGAGACCACTCTGACACCTCATCTGATCTGAACTCATAGATCCCTACAGTTAATATTCATCTGT